AACCTTTTCTTATCGTTGGCGCGCCGTCCTACGTTCGTTCTTGCACGGCCTTCAGACAGCAGCGAGACGATCTCGCATGCCGGGAAACGGCCCGCGACTTTAATCCTCGCCACACTCGCTTTCGGGTTACCCGCGCCGGTAGACACAATCTCGGTAGACTCGGCCTGAGCCCCCCCGAGTAACTCGCCAAGACCGAGACACTGGCGAGCGCTCTGCGGCGTTGCCACACTTCCGTCGTCGCGGTGCACGCGCGATCAGAGTGGGGATTTCTGGACTGGTTCGGGTTTGGGATGGTAGAGAATATCGGGAGAGGACGCGAGAGCGGAGAAGGTGCCGTGGAACGAGCAGGGGCGGATGCATCCACGAGAGTAACGTCGCGTTGTGTCGTGTCATTTCCCGCTTGCCTCGCCTCTTCACTTTTAGCCCACAAGTGCCTCACACACAAATGTATATTAGATTAATTTTTATCTAAGAATTATAGAAAATGTTTTTTTTTTTCTAAGTCTGAGGATTAAAAAAGGATAAGAATAAATTGAGCCGAGACTTGAGTTAATCTTATTTGTGGAATCGAGCGTAAGGTGATTCTAAAGTCATCTGTGTCTCTCTTACCGATTATTTTTCAAGTATTTTTCTAGTTGTCTTTACACAGATTTAAAAATCCTTTTCCACAATTAAAAGTGTAAACAGTAGTATAGTATATCCATACTGACAAAAACGAAAAAAGTTAGAAAATTGCAGTTTTGTTATCGGTTTCTGGCGTCGACTAGTGTTTGCTTTATATAAAACAATCTTGGTTTGGACTAGAGATTACATGAACGTTGAGTCCTTAAAATTGGACTTAAATACCTTGTGAAAGATTAGTTGGGAATTTTGTATGTGTCAATGACACGTAAATCGTATGTATGCAAGTCCTACTGAATCGGTAAAACAGACTTTAGGATCCTTTTAATCCAAAGTATAGAAGGAAAAGTTAGCTAATATCCATTTTTACAAATGCAATTCAATTTTAATCATAGTTCAACTTTTTATCCTTTTTTAATTATAAGAATTAAAAAAAAAATAACATTAACTAAGATTAAAGTTAGTCCACATTGATAGATATAGGCATAAATATGTGGACGATTTAGCGATGAAATGCAACATTCTTGTTTTTGCTTATTAGCGCAATCGATGGTTGTATAATTTTTTGGTATTTTTCAGCTTCTTCCAGAGTATTTTGTATCGATTTAATCGGATTGCTCCGATTTGGATGTCTAGGCCTATTTCGATACATCCTTCAGCAAGAAATAAAAATAACAGAACCTCGAAGAATATTGAAATTAGAATTCCATAATTACAAGAAGCCATTCATCTCTCGTATCTTCAATTCGACAAAGCACGCGTTCTAATTAATGAATTACTAATCATCCTTAACGGAAAGCTATAAATTTTCTATAAAATTATTCAGCCTCATAAGAGATACAATTAACGTTGTTTCTCGGATCCCATTTAAATTTGAATTCATATCAAACATATTCGATCTAGTGTCAATCAACTTTTGTTTCAATCTTTTAATTTATATGATCGGTCGATTCTTATTATCCTGACTATGGGGAAATTGGTGGAGGAAGCACGAGATTCAGGGTAGCCGAGATTCAGCGTTCGTTCCTGACGAGAGGAGGTTGGTGGCGGCGATGGTGGTGGCGGTGGCGGCGGCAGCGATCAGTGGTGGTGGAGAACGAGACGACCGGCGAGGACCGACAGCAGGAAGGGGAGGGTCGAGAGGAGGCGAAGCGAGGAAGTTATATTCGTTGAACCGGTAGAAGGGGTTTGATACCGCGCCGTCGGGGGACGACGGTCTACGCGGTGGGGGGTGGCCTTTCGGTGTAGGGGAACGATCGAGTTGGCGGGGAAACTGTCCGATCGCTTTACCTCTCTCTCCTTCTTTCTCTCAGGCCATCAGACGTTCCTCTTCCAATCCCTCCGTCTCCCTACCTCACCACGCGATCCTCTCACACTCCCAGCGAGCCGACGTGTACCCCTCAATGCGCGCTGCGCCGTGATGCATCGCGCTGGCGGCGGCATCGCCTCTACGAGTCACAAGGTATGCTCGTGCCGCGAATACGAACTGCCTCTCCCAAATCAATATCACTCGTCGAAAAAAAAGGGGGAAAAAGAAAGAAAGGAGAAAGAGAGAGAGAGAGAAAAAAAGACGACTCGGCACCTATAATTGCCGAACTTCCGCGATAACCGTCTCCACTCTCTGTCCCCAGTCTTGCCCGCCGATCGCCGACCATCGCCGACGGGAGAGCACCGTCGTCGTCTTCTGCTTCCCTCCCTCCCCCTGCCCTTGCGTCTCGCCGCCGTCTCCGCCACCACTTCCTCCACCTCTCGCGCGTTCCCACCCCGTTTCTCGCGTGGGGTTAGGTTCACGCGCCAGGTTGATTAGGGCCTCCCTCCGCGGCAGCCCGCCGCCGCGCTATCACGCACGTTTCCCGCCATCCAATGTCCGCGCACGATGATTTTCACTGACTATACCCGCGACCTCGCAGCCACGTGCTCGGCTCGCTCTCGCGACCGCGCGCGCCCGCCACGAAAACAAAGGGGGCCGATGCGCCCGCGAGAGCGGGCTAGTCGCACGCTAAGGTACTACCTCGTCGTCGCTGGACGTCGTCTGGCTCTCTGACGAGTCACGAGCGTGCCTATGCAAGCTGTATGTATGTATACAAGATGTATACGTGCGACGGGCGACGTTAAACGCGATTCGGACCCGACTCGTCGCGGTCATATATGTGTTGGCATGCAGAAGCATGCGGACTCGGGCCGCGTGCACAGCGACGAACGATAAGCTTCGTAGGCTTCAGCGGAACGAATGCGTTTCGCTTAAAATTCTGTCTTGATAACGTAGTTTGCCGATATCGCGATTTACAAGAATACGACGAGTCAAATCCTCTTACTTTTGTAAAAGATTGTCTTGCCGCGTGATATATATGATGTACAGATGGAAAATGAATTTTTGCCTCTTCTTCTCAATTTTGTTCAGGCCGGAAGAATTTATATCCTAGAATAAAATTTTCTAGACGAACAGCGGATTGATGAATACTCAATGTTGACGGAAGAAGGACCCGATGTTCTTACGTAAGCTCCGTAAGATTCGAGGCATCGATGATATCTCGGGCTTGTCGAGCGGTTGTTCTCGCGAAGATGAAAGAAACATGGAAATTCATGAGCAAGTCGATGATACTTTACAATGCATCGTTGTACTGACCCGATTACAACTTATCGCCTACTGTAATGCGCCGCGAGATAACCGTTCGAACCGAATGAACTATAAGCTATGGGATCGCGCGTGGTTGTGAATTTTTAGAAATCACTTTAATGCAAATGCTGTTTTAATTTTATCGTCCACTTGGATTTTTCCTGAAAGCTTATAAGAAATGTCATCCTATGCAATTGCAAGGTATATTTTACAGAGATAGCAAACATTTTCAAGAAAAGAATTTCTCTACGTTGCTTTCTTGATGTTACTTTCGATGATATATTTTATTTATTAATGTATCCCACTTTGTTGGCGAATTCTTATTTATGTAATAATAAAAAGTGAAATATAATGAATCAAAAAATTACAAAAGAAGCTCTTAGGAAGCAACACAGGATGAGAACGTGTATAGAAATTGTATTAATAGAAATTAAATACAGACGTTTTAATTCTCGGTTTCTTCGAAATAAAGTTAATAAAATAATTTCGTTCTACAGTAAATCATTGGAATTATCAGTATGAATAATTACAAAGCGGTATCGAATCGGAAACATCGTAATACTAAAGTTAAAGAATAAAAAAATGATCAAACGTCTCAGTACTTGGCTGAATACTTAAATCGTGAATCGCAAAATTAAAACTGAAAATGTTGAAAAGTCACTGTGTAACTATATCGTAGTCTAATGTATAAATAAATTGAAGTTTGCATTGATTACAGCGCGCGATCGTAGTTCAATAAAATAATAATAAAAACTTACATTAGAAATACAATATCGATGAGATGACAAAGTAGAGCGCAAATAAAAGTAACACAAGTTGTTGTGAGCTTATTAGAGACCCACGAACGGAGATATGCACGTGTTTATACATACTAAATTAATACATAGATAAATTAAATGAGAAACATGATGTCTTTGTAAAAGGTCACGATATAACGTATCTAAAGGATCTGTGTCGTTTTGAAATATATATGCATATTAATTTTTAATTTTTGACGTCGATTACGGATCTTTCAAAAACACACCTAGTTTGTCGAAAGTGCAAAGCGAATCTTGTTCGAGTCCGAAAGGGTGCGGTCCTTTTCGGTGAAAAAAGGGAGAAAAAAACCCCGTCACGGAGTGTAAGGATCGTTATCGCCAAGTTCTCGGCCATGAACGAAGAACGGATTTAACGATCGTTTTGCGCGACGCGGCAAGGCGCGGAAAGAGAGTCGCGGGAGAGGAAGGCCGCGACGCGACGCTGGCGAGAAGTCGCGTCTCTTTCTCCGACGTGTATAGTAGTAGCCGCGTCCTAAAAGCGAACGACGAGCGAGGAGCGAGAAGAGCAAAAGTACGCGTTAGGGCTGGTGCAGCCGCGCGGTCCGCGGCCGCCTATATTTATCCGACGATGCAATATTTGGCCGTGTCTTCGAGAAAGAGAGAGAGAGGGCGAGAGGGAGAGGGAGAGAGACTCAGAGTCGACCACATTCGTCCACAACTCGCAGCGCACGGATGGGCGCATGAACGAACTCGCAGCAGCGGCGGGCAGCGGCAGCAGCAGCAGCAGCAGCAGCAGCAGCAGCTTGCGCGCCTCTCTCTTTTCTTCTCCTGTCCCTCGCGCACTCTCCTTCTCTCCTTTGTCTCCTCCTCTTCTTCTCTCTCCCCATTTTCTTCCT